TATATATTATTATTATTATTATTGTTATCAAACAATATGTAGCTAAAAAAGTGCCGATATATGCGTTAGATTCTTTTTTAATAATAAAATTTAAAACGGAAAATTTTAAAATAAATTTTTAAAACTGTTTTTGAAAGGAAATAATATGTTATTTGAATTTCCAAAAAGTTTGAAAGCTAATATCAAGAAAAAGTCGAATTTAATTTTGCATAGAGAATGATACAGAGTTTTCATAACATCTTTGCTTGCGATCTCCGAGATCTGTGTGCAGCCTTGAATAGGATGGGTTAAGGAGTCAATTAACTTCACTTTTCTAGCCAGCATTTTTGCAGACCAATCACTTTGCCATTAGTTCACTTAGCTGATACAATAAAACAGCCATGAATATAAACTCTTTTCTACCTTTTAATATGTGATATATTTTAAAGCATTCTTTAATTTCCAATTTTTTATACCATTTTAGATTGCAAAAGACTATAGATGTGAAACTGATTAGTTTCCATCTGTCAATATTTAACTTCAAAATTTATAGTGAATGAAACTATAGTTGGCATGAAAAATTAGTAACTTTTTCCTTATTTGAAGCACTCAAATTTGAGACAATTTATTTATGCCTTGATTACAGTATAAGTAAGGATTTCTACTCTTAATTTAGTTGATGTAAACATGATTGAAAATAAACACTTGGACTAATTATAGATAGTGATTGATATTTTTTTCTTTCCAGGCACATTGTATGTTATATTTCAGACCATTGGACATATTGTCGTACGTTAGATACAGTTTCAACAGATTTGCAGGCAGTCTTTGATAAATTTTTTTTCTCTGCTGTTTTCAAGATATTTAATTTTCGCAAGTAAGTTACATTTAAAATTTTGATTCTTATACTATGATGAAGGCCTTTATTCAATGTTAGTGTTTAAGTTAAGAGGTAAATTGGTAAGTGGGACATACATTTTTACATTTTTTTTTTATCAAAACTGCCACTTTATTAAATTTAATATGGTAGGTGTCTTTGTATTAACTTAAAAAAATAATAATAAGTTTATTAGTGTTACAAAATTCAACTTTTTTTCTTAAAATAAAAATATTAAGCCAAAACTAAATTCGTCTTACTTATTCCATTTAAATATTAATTAACAATGCAATTTATAATCAAAAATTAGTGCACTAAATTTTTTGTATATCTTGAAGTTTAATTCAATTGCATATTGAATTTATTGTTTTATATTAAATCTAGTAATTTAAACCTGAAATAAAAAGTCAACTTTTCAAGTAGAAAGTTTATGGAATATTTTATTCAATCGAAACATTTCTATCAGCTTTGTTAGGTCGTAGAATTAGTGTAATTGCCTTTTACTATTGTATAATTTCTTAGCATATGTTACATATTTCTCATATGGTTATTAATATAACATGTACAGTAGAGAACCATTTATCCGGTATCCAGATAACCGGGAAAAATTTTCATCGGTTATCCCCCCATTTTAGACTAGAACGATTATGAAAAAAAACGGAAATTGAACTCATCCTTGAATTTGAGTAGAGGAAAATGTAAGGAAGGGGAGAATTTTTTTCCCCGTTTATCCAGAGAAACTTAATTTCCTCCGTGACCTTGAAGGCAGGGAAGGGAGGAATGTTTTATTTTCTCCTTTAGGCCGTCAATCAAACTCAAGGATGTGGCATGCTGATTTCGTTTTCTGTTTGATTTACGAGGGGGGTGGGGAAATGNTTTAAACATTTTGGTGAAATTGTACCCCCTGCTTATATGGAAGTTCAATAAAAATAATTTAAAATTCATACTTATATCACAGGAAACTTTAACATAATTAGAATACAATAGAATTCTGAAGTGGATACTGCAAAATAATAAGTTACGAATAGCTGGATTTGAAATCTAATAGCTAGATTTTAAAAAAAATCTAATTTATGCTATATTTTCAGAAAGAATTGATTTTTATTGCAACATGTTAAAATTTAGTGCAATTTGTATTAATAAGAGTTTTATTTCAATTTAATATGAGTTGTAACTGTCTAATTTATATGAATCGTCTATTGAATCAATGCAAATATATATACGCTTAATTTTATACGTTGAATATTATTCAGTTATGGAAATTTTTACCTATTAATAAATATGATCATGATGATATTTCTACAAAGTTTTTAAAGAAATACAATGAAATCTGAAGTCTATGAAACATGAAGATATAGGCAGTGGGCTTTAGAATTTAAAACTTTTAATAAGCCACAATATCTTTAATCAGCTAAAAGTTAAATTTAATTTTAGAAACCACATACAGAGTGTGGAATTAAAATTTAGCAATGACGTGCTGAGGTGCATACACAATGAACACAGAGCTAGTTATAGATTTTATGAAAAACTTACTACTAAGATTTTTTTAACAGTTGCATCATAAATATAGGAGTTTTTTTCCATCCAAAGTAAAGTTAATAAAGATGAACAGTTTATAATTGAAAACAGTAGTATATTTTTTTCTCACAAAATCTTGCTATATACGGAATGGTTTTGTTGCAAGTTTTCCTATTGTCTTGTTTTTAGGTCTGTTTCAAATGCTTCAAAAGGGAGAGCTTTTGGATGAAATGCTTTTGATTCTTGTATTCAATTCAAAAATGTTTATGACTCTGCTTTGTAGAGCAAAAGCCAGTAGTGGCACTATTAATTGTTTATGCAATTTCAACGTAATTGTTCGAGTAACACAACTTTTGGCGTTCAAATCATTTGAATACAAGTAACATAAAATTAACATAAACTTAAAATATTTAAGAAAAATAAAAATGCAAGTTCAATGGCACACAAACAACAGGTCCATAACAGGAGAATGCCCTAGTAATGTAAGATGACATTTCCGGTCATGGTTTCCTAGGTAATTCTTAATCTTTATGATGTGCTCTACTTCCCTTGTTGTAATATTTACGGGACATCCTATGTATGTATGTATGTATGTATGTATGTATGTATGTATATGTATATATATATATATATATATATATATACATATACATACATACATACATACATACATACATACATACATAGGATGTCCCGTAAATATTACAACAAGGGAAGTAGAGCACATCATAAAGATTAAGAATTACCTAGGAAACCATGACCGGAAATGTCATCTTACATTACTAGGGCATTCTCCTGTTATGGACCTGTTGTTTGTGTGCCATTGAACTTGCATTTTTATTTTTCTTAAATATTTTAAGTTTATGTTAATTTTATGTTACTTGTATTCAAATGATTTGAACGCCAAAAGTTGTGTTACTCGAACAATTACGTTGAAATTGCATAAACAATTAATAGTGCCACTACTGGCTTTTGCTCTACAAAGCAGAGTCATAAACATTTTTGAATTGAATACAAGAATCAAAAGCATTTCATCCAAAAGCTCTCCCTTTTGAAGCATTTGAAACAGACCTAAAAACAAGACAATAGGAAAACTTGCAACAAAACCATTCCGTATATAGCAAGATTTTGTGAGAAAAAAATATACTACTGTTTTCAATTATAAACTGTTCATCTTTATTAACTTTACTTTGGATGGAAAAAAACTCCTATATTTATGATGCAACTGTTAAAAAAATCTTAGTAGTAAGTTTTTCATAAAATCTATAACTAGCTCTGTGTTCATTGTGTATGCACCTCAGCACGTCATTGCTAAATTTTAATTCCACACTCTGTATGTGGTTTCTAAAATTAAATTTAACTTTTAGCTGATTAAAGATATTGTGGCTTATTAAAAGTTTTAAATTCTAAAGCCCACTGCCTATATCTTCATGTTTCATAGACTTCAGATTTCATTGTATTTCTTTAAAAACTTTGTAGAAATATCATCATGATCATATTTATTAATAGGTAAAAATTTCCATAACTGAATAATATTCAACGTATAAAATTAAGCGTATATATATTTGCATTGATTCAATAGACGATTCATATAAATTAGACAGTTACAACTCATATTAAATTGAAATAAAACTCTTATTAATACAAATTGCACTAAATTTTAACATGTTGCAATAAAAATCAATTCTTTCTGAAAATATAGCATAAATTAGATTTTTTTTAAAATCTAGCTATTAGATTTCAAATCCAGCTATTCGTAACTTATTATTTTGCAGTATCCACTTCAGAATTCTATTGTATTCTAATTATGTTAAAGTTTCCTGTGATATAAGTATGAATTTTAAATTATTTTTATTGAACTTCCATATAAGCAGGGGGTACAATTTCACCAAAATGTTTAAAAAGATCAAGAGGTTTAAGGCATTTAAACTCTTCACGTTCTTCTTTGGATTTCATTGGTTGTTAAATATGTTTGACCTTGTAATGCATGTACCTAAAACATTGAAAGATCTCAGTTTTACCCAATTATGTTCATTACTTTTCCCAGATATATTAAAAATGTGTAGTTTTATATTTAAATTGATAATATTTAGTTGATTGGCTAAGTTAAATTGAAAGGTGGTTCAGTGAATTGATTTCTATGCAAACACTTTAAATTTTTTCATTGGGGCTACTTTAGTGAAAGCTAAATAAAAGTTAAAATATAAATTCATTGATCAGTAAGAATTTTCAATAAAATAATGATACAGTTAAAAGTGCATCATATCAGAAAATTTAAAGAATTAAAAAGCGTGTTTAATTTGGTTGATAAACTTTTGTTGAAGAAATATAGAGGAGGCATTGAAAACTTTTTGACCTGCAAAGTGGGTAATGAGCTTCAAAAAAGGTTGGGAACCTCTGCCCTAGACTTACTGGAGAAATGAGAATTTTACTAATGTTAGGACTAGCATGGTTACAACATAACCCTCAAATGTGTTTCTCAAAATCTATTTTTAGAGTAGGTCTCATTTTTCCCCAGCTGGAAAATATGACCTTGAATACTGCTACCAGAAATTCTGTCCTGATATGCTTAGTATTATTATATATATATATATTTTTTTTTTTTGTAAAACTGCTTTTCAATTTTTAAGACACTGATATTGTTGATATTAAACTAAGCACATTAAATCCTTGATTATCTCTAATGAAATTAACAACTGAAATTAATTATGTGATTTATTAATAAAGAACTGAAATTAGTAAGGGGGAAAATGCTTAAGACACGAAATATTTTACATAATTCCCATCTCTTTTTATCATTGAAAAATATTATTTTATTCAAATTTTAAACTAGTTTTTTTTATTTTAAGTTTTTATGAAAGATACCCAGAAATAAGTCATTACTAAAAGTAAAAAATTTATGAATATATGCTATCAGAGAATGTCAATTCAAAAAAAAAAAATACTTCAATCTTTCTTTTTTTTTTAAAAAAAAAGGAAAAAAAACTACCTGCATCTAAAAAACTGAACTAAATTAACTGTCCAATAAAAGAAAAACTACCTCTGTCTTGCATAATAATTTGGTATATTTTGTAATAGCAAATGCGTATGCCCAATCTGAATTGCGTGAAAAAAGTGTTGTATATATCAGTTAAAGTTGGAGAGGATAAAGAATTTTAAGATGCATTGTGAGGAACTCGCTTAACTTAATGTTGAATTTCAAACAAGACAATTATATTTTGTCCATCCACACACACGACAAAAACTTAAAATGTCGAAAGGAAGAACATTTGGTATGCACGTAAATACTGCCCATTCCAATTACATACATTTGCCTCTTGTTACGGCAAACTTCAAAGAACACTTTTAGCTGCTATAACCTATGTCCACATTATGCTATGTTCATTATAATAATTGAGTAAAATTTTGATAAATTTCATACAAAGAATCCTTAAAGGGAATAAATTTCTCTCCTTTTTTGAAAAAGAAAGCAAAAATGATCATATCTCTATGAATTAAAGAAAAATTGATGTTCGTTTAAACTAATAATTTAAATTATTTCTGTAAAGGAAAGGTTTTGGGAGAGAGAAATAACTAGTGTAGCTGTATTTCGGAAAAAAAGAAATAAGTATTAAGTATATACCTAAGAATTCCATTGGTTTCAAACAATAAAAAGAAGGAACACTATATAATTGTTTCAAATGCTCCATTAAATTCATTCAAGAGATATCCAAAATAATAAACTCATTAAAGCTAACTTATTTTGAAATTAATTGTAACATTTTGCCTAGTTAAAAATTTATTAATGAATGAATTAATTGACTAAATGAATTTAATTGAAGTTACTTTTAACCATGAGAGGCTTAAAACCGATGGTTACGATGCTAAGCCATCAAAAATTCTATGTCATTAATAACAGATTTGGAGTTATTTTAAAAATAAAGAAAATTAAGAAAACAGCTTTTCAATTGTATAAAAATTTTTTTTTGATTGGTATACTCATTTCCATTAAAGTTTCATAATATTTCTATTATTTCAGATTATTCTCCTACTTCTGTGTTGATAGAAGAATTAAAAAAAGTTGAAAGTAGTGATCAAGCATTTTTCCTTCATGTTTATGAATCCATAGTTATATCTGGAAATCCTAATGAAGATCTTCTTGAGTTTATTGTGCATGAGTTGTTTCAAGTAAGATTTATGCAATTAATTCTTTCGTTAAATTAAATGTTTTATTGTTCAGTGATTCACAAAAATAAATTTAGTTATAAATTTTAATTATAATTTTTTACTGATTCCATCATTAGTGGCTCATGTTTGATGTTTGTATATCACTTATTAAATTTTTTACGTACATAAAGCTATACTTCCCCTCAAGTTTACAATCTTAAATGTTTAAAGGATCTCCAAATGGAGAATAATTGCTTAAAAAGCCAATGATGAAACTATGTGTTTGTACCTAATATTGCTTTCAAAATGCTTGTTTTTAAAGTTAAGTATTCTTCCTTTTTTTTAAAATATGAATTAATTATAATCAGAAGAGAATTATTATGATTTTTATATTACTTCAACCAAATATTACATTATATCTTCCTTTTAAATAAATTATATTTTTTTAAGCGAAACATATATAGTACCATTTTTAGACGCTCCTTCAATAAAGTAGTAATGTAAATAATGTTGGATATGTATCTGTTTATATAAATTAAATATCAACAACTTGAGCTAAATTGAGTTTATTTAAATGTTTTTTCCCTCAATGTTCCTGTCTCTTTCTTTTCAGCTATTTGAAGTGCAAAATTAAAACTTGTTGAGCAATTAAAATATGATTAAAGCCGGTGTGCTAACTTTAACAGCTAGAATATGCAATTCTCTTGTTAATATTACCAGTGACTTCTGAGGGATTGTTGAGATCTTTTTAGTGTAAGATGCTTCATGAATTTCAAAAGAAGAGCATATAAAGAGGAAGATAAAATTAAATTCCAAAAAAAGATTTTCTTGGAAAAAGATTTTTTGCTATAATTCAGAAACTGATACAGTTTTATTTTAGTTTATTAGCACCATTATAAACTCTTACTGCCAAATATGTGCTTATTTATTAATAATGAAAATAATAAAGAAAAGAAAATTTCTATTCGAAAATTAAAATTTTTGAATTTCTAATTAATGAATGATACATTAACGAATAAGTAACTTAATGTACCTATAATGAATTATCTCTATAATATATCATATTTTTCATTGTAATTTATCATTAAATTTTTCAGATTTTAGAAAATATTAAAATAAAATTATACGTCCCATCACTATGTCTTCTTTAGATCTAAAACCAATTTTTTGTTGTTGTTGAATAGTTAACATTATTATTTAATGTCATATTAAAAAAAAAATTTATATAAAATTGTACTTTTCACTAAAATTTAACTTGTGTGGTATTCAGAAAAATAGATTGTTGATAAAATGCTTTACAAAAATAGGCTTCATGATACAAATCTATTAATCCTTTGTATTGAATATCCTTGGACAATTTTATTGTTTAAGTATTTCTGCTACCTTTCATAAAGTAGAAATTTACTTCACCTTCACCCATTTGACAATTTGTACTGATGAAGACAATCAGTGTTGGATACGTATGTTTATACAAATTCAAGACAAAGCTAAAATGAATGAGTCTATTTTATTGCTTTTTATCATCATTGACAATTTAACATTTAGCTTAACCAATAACAACCCTGAGTTTTTTTTTTTAAATAAATTTTACAACTGTTAATGTAAAATCAAGAAATAAGATTAAAGTGAATTTGTTTTTATTTATTTGCTCTTTTATTTCCTTTTATTTTGAATAGTGTATTTTGTTCCTGATTTATGAGTAAAAACTTGACTCTAGTCATTTTTGAAATAAACTCTCAAGCCATAAATGTTTTTCAACAATGTTCACAAGGTGGAGTCAATAAATTCCCAGAATGCTCACCTACATTCACTCAGGTATTCTTTGGAAGGGAAATATTTTTTAGAGGTTGGCAGGACTAATAAAAAAAAAACAGCCATCTAGAATTCATTTCTAGTACTATTGTCATTTGCTGCAGGTCATTTCTGACTGAGCAAATTTTTAATTTGTCGAACTTTGAATTGTCACCTTTAGAGCATACATTAAATTCTGCTTTTTACCAGGGAAATCTCCTTCTGAGACGCTCGAAATGCTGCAGAAAGCATACAAAAACGATGTCACAAAAGAAAGAAAAAATGGCTGTGTATGAGTGGCATTAGCGTTTTCGTGAAAGTGCCATAACCATCTAAGATAATCTTCGGACTGGGTGTTCCTCTTATTCTACCGCAGATAAAAATGTTGAGCGCATTCGAAAAATCTTGCATATGGATAAGTGATTGTCTATTGATGCTATTGTCTCTGAACTTGGAATTTCACATGGGAATGTTCACAGCATTCTTCATGATGATTTGAATTGCATATGGTTCAAAAAATTTTATCACCTGAACAAAACAAAGTAGGAGTGAACATGTGTTAGGATTTGTTTACATGGCTGATGAAGCGGACAGCTTCTTAAAGAAAATAATAACAGGTGATGAGACAGGGTGTTTTCTCTATGACCTTTTGACAAACCGTCAGTCATGTGAATGGAAAGCATCACAAAGGAAAGTAAAGTTTTGTTTGGACAAAAACTGAGGGAAAGTTTTTTTATTACAAGGGGGTCATTCTCTACAAGTTTATTTTAAAGGCTAAACTATCAATAAAGAACTTTACTTAGCAATCCTTAAAGGACTATGAGATACAATCAGATGAAAACAACCTGAAAAGTGGGCTACAAATGATTGATTTCTTTTATGTGTCAATGCTCCCCCACAATGCGCTTTGATTGTAATAAAGTACTTTCCAAACAGAGTATAGCCACTCTAGAGACACTCTCCTTATTCTCTTGACCTAGCACCAACAGATTTGTACCTGTTTCAATGACAGAAAATGAAATTGTAGGGCCACCGGTTTGTGGGTTCAGATGAAGTAATCAAAAATGCAATGAAGCAGCTCAAGGACCTCTCAAAAAAGGGATTCTAGGAGTGTTTTAAACAGTTATACGAAGGCTGAAAGAAGTGTGTAGATGCATGAAGAAAGTACTTTGAAGTCTAATAAAATAAAATTATTGTTTAATTTTAGATAATTTGTAATTGACCTATTCTGGGAACTTTTTGACTCTACTATGTATTTAGGATTCTGGAATCAACTAGGATTATTATTAATGCACTTTTATTTGCTTTACTGTGCTACTATTTTTTTTTATTGTTTTGTTACCGGCGCTGAACAGCCGACACAATTTTTGGGTTTATGACTTCTAATGTTCAACTTCATAGCCTTGTAATTTTGAATCCAATCCAGAAGACAATGGAACTCCTGGATCAAGCATTAGGTGAAATTTGCTTTCATGAAGGACTTTTTGATGGAACTAACCTGCATTTGCGTTATATGGAGAGATAGACCATAAGAACCTCCCACGATTAGCTTGATGGAGAATGGACTATGATCCTTCTACCACTGAAGATATTTTACGTCAGCACTGTGTTCGGTGCAAGCCGGATTCGGATTGACCAGCCATTGCTGGATTCGAGCCCGGTTCACCTCAATGGAAGGGGAATGCTCTATCCCCTGAGCCATTGCAGCTCTACTGTGTTACTATTCCTGTTTTTATACACTTTATCATTTTGAACTAGTATACATTATTCATATCATGTTTAGTTTCTTAAAAAGAGAGCCATATTTTATGAAAAATTACTGTACGGGGAGATATATTTTAACTATGCTAAATTTTTTTTACTTTGCTTTATAGTATTTAATGAAATCAAATGCTCTTTTATTTGTATAATTTCTCTTTTCTTTTCTTCACTTCATTTTTAAAGGCTTTTTGATAAAATACTTTTAGTAGTTCAAAGTTTCTGCAATAGTTTAAATATATATTGATGTATTTCCGAATTATTGTAATTAAATATATAAACATTTACTTTACATTAGATTACTTTTGTTGAGGATAGTCTCCATCATTTGCTGAAGGATAGTGTTATAATATTCAGATCTATTATTGGCAAGCACCCTTATCTTATGTCTACTTTTTTAAAAGAAGTAAACCAAACTGATGGAGAGAAAATTATTAAGGTATTTTATCTTTAGATTTTAAACAACTGCATTGAGTTAATTTAGTATTGCTTTTAAAAAAAATTATTCAAATTTTTATGAACTGTTTGAATCTTATGAAAATATAGAAATTGAGACTTTTTGGATAGAATTTAATGTTACAAACTAAAATCTAATATTATTAATATATATATATAAAAGTTCAAAATGAAGAATAAAACAAAGAAAAATTATAGACATATGAAAAAAAACAACAAACAATATTTTATTTAAAAAAAAAAAAAAAAAAAAAAAAAAAAAAAAAAAAAAAAAAAAAAAA